AGAGGAGGAAAGCCAGGACTAGAGCTGGAGGCCTCATGCTGAGAATAGATCTCTTCATCCTTATGGAGAGACAACCCCAGAGCCTGCTTCAAAACAAAGCAACTCCTGCCAGTTTGCTTGTTTGTTTCCTTTTGTTTTTCCAGACAGGGTTTCTCTGTGTAGCCCTGGCTGTCCTGGAACTTGCTTTGTAGACCAGGCTGGCCTCGAACTCACAGTTCCACCTGCCTCTGCCTCTGCCTCCCAAGTGCTGGGCCGCCACCACACAACAGTGCCAATTTGAGAGATCCTGGCCCTTCAAGCTTCCAACAGACAGCATGACTGGGCACAGAGGCAGCCATGACAGAATCAGTAAATGCACCACGTTCCCCAGCCGGCCTGGCCCTGCGCATGACACCCAGGGTGAACAACTGCATTCCTGCTCCAACGTAGGCGCCAAGAGCCTTCCAGGCGGCTTTCTCTGCAGCCATCATGGCCAACATAAACCAAGAATGTTCACACCACTTGGTTGGGACCCTTGAAACCTACAGAGCTGACAGACACTCACAGCGTTGAAAAAAAGGAAGCGCTTGGAGAGTCTGAGATGCACTGGCCAAGTAACCCCAGCCAGTGCCTCACACGTGGACTTGGGGTGCCTCCAGCTCGGCTCATCCTAAGCTTCAATATTTGAGATTTCTTTCTACTTGAATTGTTTCCTTAAGTCGGCTCACCTGCCATAAAAGACATATTTATTCATTCCTCAAAAATATTAATGCCCCCACGTGCAGGCAGAATGAATGAGCACAGTTATGTGAGAGAGAAAAAGCACTGTGACGGCTGTCCTGGCGGTGCAGAGGATGTGAGCCCCACCCCCTGAGGGTGTCGTGTGAGCATAGGAGTGTGTCAGTCAGTAGATACTGTCAGGACAAGCTTCTCCCTGGAAGCAAGACAACTGAAGGCAGGAGATGCAAACCAAAAGCTGAAATGAGAGAGGCCTTGAGGACGAGATGAGGCCATTTGTTTTAAATATTTTTTTTTCTTTTTCTTTTTTCCAGTGGTGGGGAATCAGAACCTTGCACATTCTAGGCAAGTGTTCTATCCGTGAGTGGCAGCCCAGGCCGGTCCGGGGATGAGAGATCCATGCAGAGGAAAGGTCTGAAGTACATGAACTATCTCTTCCCTTGAACAACATCAGAGAATGCCCCGGAGGCCTGAGGTTCAGTCACACATTGGAGCAGAGCTCCTTGATCTCAGAATCACAGCACACAGGAACCCAGGCCTTGGGGGCTGTAAGGTGGCCACCACTCCCCTCTCACCTGACCTGAGGTGAAAGGGGGCTGGCCACCTGGGATGGTTGCCGGGTAGAATGTCAGTGGGGCTGGACCTGATGCAGGCTGGCTGATGCAGGGACTCCGAGGCCATGTCAACAAGATACCTCTTGCCTTCCGTGCAGAGAACTACCTGTTAGAGAGTGACAGTGTTTAAACTCGATGCAAAAAAAAAAAAAAAAAAAAAAAAAAAAAAAAAAAAAAAGAGGTCCTATTTAACCCTGAATACACGTAACTAAAAGTGTGTTGATCTGCTAACCAATCTACCCACACCTACACTCTTGTGACTTTCTTTTTGAAACAGAAAAAAAATCTTGCTATGTAGCCTAGACTGGCCTCCAGTTCATGATCTTCCTGCCTTGCCTCCCCTGTGAGGTGGAATTCCAGGCACCACCCTGCATTGGGCTTTCTTTTCCTCTGTTGTTTTAGGCCTGATGGGATTACATTAGTCCAGGCTAGCCTTGACTACACGATCCTCCTGCCTCAGTCCCAAGTGTTCCTTTACTTGTAGGCTTTACCATTGCCTCTCTAGATGTAGGTGAGGTTAGACTCCCAGGAGAAGAGGCAATGTGTTTCATGTCTAAGGAAGAAACTTGGCTTTCGAGTACCCCTACAAGATAAACATGCCACAGCACCCCACACTGCACTTCCCAAAACAGTCATGAGTAAAATGCTTCCTACAGGCCATGCTGGGGGTGTAACTGAATTTTAGTGAGCATCAATAGAGGTAAAAGGGGGGAGGGGAACATCCCATCCCCTAAATTCAAATAGGAGAGAGGAGGAAAGAGCTCTGATGACAATAGGCGACCAATTTGACTGAGCAGGGCTCCTCTTCACGATGCATGGGCTCTAACCATTTCCAACCCAGGTCTTTAGAGAGATCTAGTCTAGGAACCCAGGGCCCATGTGCCCCCTGAGCCAGAGGTAACAAGTATGAAAATAGAACACCTGGGGCTGGAGAGATGGCTCAGTGGTTCAGAGCACCGTCTGCTCTTCCAGAGGTCCTGAGTTCAATTCCCAGCAACCACATGGTGGCTCACAACCATCTGTAATGAGATCTGGCGCCCTCCTCTGGCGTGTGGGCATACATGGAGGCAGAATGTTGTATACATAATAAATAAATAAATCTTTAAAAAAAAAAGAAAGAAAGAAAATAGAACACCTGAAAAGAGTGATCTAGGCCAGAGCAGGCCTGAGGCAGCGAGCATCATGGGAGCGGGACTGAGTCAGTGACCTAAGCCAGAGCAGGCCTGAGATGACCAGCTCCATGGGAGTGGGAGCAGATCCAGACCAGAGACATTGGCAGAGGCAGGACTAAGCCAGAAACCTGGGTCAGACCAGACCTGAGACAGCAAACTCCATAGGAGATGGTACAGGGGAGCAACTGCTGAGTGAGTAGGTCAGAGCCAGAGACTGCTGCT